GCCGAGTATTTTCGAACCGTCAAAGGTACTGGCACCAGTACCTCCGAGCCTATTTTCGACGTGGTACTGGCCAGTACCCGAACTTTTAGGAGGCCGGGCCCGACAACGGCTGCCGTTGATAAATCTGATCGGCGAGCGTCATTTCGTCTCGGCCTCCTGAAAGGTCGGAGGCCGAGTATTTTCGAACCGTCAAAGGTACTGGTGGGCTAAGATTCGCTGGCCGTGTAGTCACTCCCTTAGGCGCGAATCGCAAAAACAAAAAAAAATCCCTCCCCTCTTGTATTTTTTTTTTTTCCGCCCCGCCAAAAGCGCCAACAGGACTTGTATGAAAGCAGGGAGGCCACTACACCCTCCCTTACTTCTCCCCGCTGCAGAGTCTCCGCTCTCAGCCCTTTGCTCTCCACCGTAAGAACGCTCGCTCTTTGCGTTCCCCGGACAGCGGGTGGGGGGGGGGAAGGGGGGAGATGGGGAGGACAAAGAGGAGGAAGTGGAGGAAGGAGTAGGTAGAGGACGAGGTGGAGGGAAAGGTGAAGGGAGAGATGGAGGAAGTTGAGGTGGGCGAAGAGTAGGAGCGTGAATTGACGAAGGCGGCTTGCGTGAGTTGAGGAAGACTCTGAGGAAGGCTCCGATCCCTTGTGGATTCGTTGGTGGTGGGTGAGCTATACCTACGTAGTCGTGTTTAGGAGAGAGAGAGAGAGAGAGAGAGAGAGAGAGAGAGAGAGAGAGAGAGAGAGAGAGAGAGAGAGAGAGAGAGAGAGAGAGAGAGGAACCATCTGTGTATGGCACCATCACACAGGGCCGCTGCAGGTAGATTGGAATGATACAGGGAAGATTAGCATGGCCCCTGCGCAAGGATGAGGCGCGTAAATCGAGAAATGGTCCAAATATTCACCGTTCGCCAACCATAATCCGCTGCGAGAGGTTTGGGTGTGAGTATGCCTGTTGGGTTTTACAACCGAAAAAAAGAAAAAAAAGAAGGAATGTTTCTTCGGAGCACGTCAGCATCCAGACAACACACTCCAATGAGCAGTTGCTGTGCGCACGTCGCCATAGGCGGGCGGCATGCAGATGTGCACACATCTCCATGGTCGGAGTAGAGGAGGGACTTCGATGCTGTCCCTGTCCTTGGCTACTTGCTGATAGAATGAGCGGSGGGGGGGGGGGGGGGGGGRGGGAACGAGCATGGTGGGRGCCCTCCCTGTTCACCACACAACTTTGCATTCGTCTTCCCCACACATAAGCCACCCTTTTTTTTTTTTTTTTTAAATCAAACACTTGTATCATTTCCAATAGAGACTCGAGGCCGGGGACCCCGGGGTATCTGACAGCATCAGCCAGCTTAACTTACAGGCAGCGGCCTGCGAAGAGGCATTCTTGTCCTCTTTCCATCCACTTACCTGAATGGCAACTAACTAACAATAGGATAAAACCTAACTCCGCTAGGGGTAGCTACTTCTCCGCAGCCGAATCGGCTCTCGCTTTTAGAACTGTTTTCACTCTTATAGGTGTTATTCCGCAGAACTAAAAAGTTAACTTGATCTGGACTGAACGTAGCTGCTTCTGGGACTAACACGGCCCAGAGGACTATGTCCCAAACCTACCGGCCCTCCCCTACCGGCCCAATGTGGCCCTATTCAACCGAGGGCCCTGGTTGTTCTACCCTGTGGGACTTAGCTGCTACGTCCTCCCCGGGCCTTTTCTCACCCTTTTTTTTTGCCCCTACCCCACCGGAATTGTGCATACAGTAATTTTCAGGGTGCGTTATGTTCGGGGGCTAGGTCCCACTTGCACGAATTAAAAGACACTGACCGTAGATAACAAAGATCAACGGCCCAAATCTCCTAATTTGCGCAAGTGGGACCTTACCCCGGGGAAGACGGTGGTTGTCTATAGACAGCCACCGCACCACGTTACCGAACTTAACGCACCCTCACTTTGCCCTTACCGGACGCTAAGGGCCAGATCCCACTAGCCCCTATTGTTCATTTCCGACCGTTGATCTTCGTAATCGAGGGTGTAAAATGAATAATCCAGGGTAGTGGGATCTGACCCTAAAGAAGGTTTGCATACATCCAGACCTCGAACAATCTCTTCTTCAACTTCCCATCGTTCCAATTTTAACGGATGTCCCTGTCCAACGAGCAAGGAACTATCTGGCGTTTGGTCACAATTGGAGGTTCTTCCGTCACAAAAACTGGCATCCTTGCTCTGGCTTCAGTCACACTTAGGCGTTCCCACGGCTAAATGGCTCTCGGAGAAAGGCATGGCTGTCAACACTACCTGCAATGGGAAGTTGAAGAAGGTTGTTGGAGGTCTGGAGAATCTCAGCGTGAAACACTGAAATTGCTCCAGAAGCTGAAAACAAGACCAACTGCACTATTGTCCAAGTTAGACAGAAGGTGGCAAAGGGAGATAACTGAGTTGCCCTGTCCAACGAGCAAGGAACTATCTGGCGTTTGGTCACAATTGGAGCTTCTTCCGTCACAAAAACTGGCATCCTTGCACTTAGCCGTTCCCACGGCAAAATGGCTCTCGGAGAAAGGCATGGCTGTCAACACTAACTGCGACGGCTGCCAAAGAGATGATGAATCGACGTCCCATCTTTGGTGGGACCGCCCCAAATCACGACGGTGGTGAGAATGGTGGGAGTACCACTAGAAGAGATTCACAGGTCTTACGGAGTTCACAGGTCAGCGGTGGGCGTAACTAGGTGGGACTCCGGAGGTTTTCAACGTTAAGGAGGGGTGGGGGTACATAGCCCAGGTAAGCCGAGCGATCCTCCTCTGGGTAATCTGAGGGGTGGGGGTACATAGCCCAGGTAAGCCGAGTGATCCTCCTGTGGGTAATCTGGCTTGATCGTAATGGTCAGAGGTTCCAAGTGGTTTGCATGACAGAGCGGCAGGCAGGAGCAACCTTCAAATTGTTACTAGCCAACGCCATCAGGGCGGATTGGTACAGAAGAGTCCAGGGTAAGGACACAGCCACGGGCTTGGAATGGTTCAGGAAGACCTGGTGTGTCAGGGACCAGCCAGCCCAGGTTTCCTGGAAGGGAAGCTGGTTTTATGCAGTTGGATTAAGCGAAGGTAGTGGGATAGTTTGACAGTAGGATTAGAGGATAGCAGTAGGGTAGGTCCGTACCTATGAACCAGGTGCACTCGGTTCCAGTCGGCGGGCGCAGTAGTCTGCATAGGGTAGGAGGGTGGGAGAGTGTCGGTCATAGATGAAGGAACAGGGTTTCCTCTCAACCTTATTGGGCCGGGGTCGGACCGTTTAT